ATCATCAAACATGGCCGCTATGAACTGTCAAAACCAGGTCATCCCTATTGGTAGACCCAGTACTTATATATTTTTAAATACATACCTGTTATAGATAAATTACACCTACTCACAGAACAAATTATCGTGCGCATCACACAATGTTTGTCCTGGGTGGGAATCCTGGGAATAAAAGGTAACCTCATATCACCGCCAAGCATTAGATTTGACAATGTTACTGTAAAAAAAAAAACTTCAGTGTGTTACCTAGGATTAGTTTTAGAAAGAAACTTTTCATTTATCGAACATATTAAAATAGTTAATGAAAAGTCTAAAAAGAGTTTCTGTGCATTGACAAGGATATCAACTGCGACATGGGGTCTATCATTTAATACATAAAAGATCATATACGGAGCTACTTATTTAGGTTCTATATGCTATGGTGCACCTGTACTATGGGCCGACAGGGCGGCCGTAGGCGCTGTCCGTCGCAAACTGTTACAAGGCCAACGACTTGCACTGATATTCTTGTGCAAGGCATATAGGACGGTTAGCACTGAGGCTTTGCCGGTGTTGGCGGGTGTGCTTCCGGTCGATCTCGAGGTGCAGAGACGTGCAGCCATGTACTATTCAAGACAACAAAACATGGAATGCGATTTTTTGGGCGCGCGGGATCGCGGTAAAATTACAAAATTGCTTCAACAGCAGTCCGATGTCTATAATGACCTCATAGACGAATGGCAACACGCTGGGATGAATCATCCAAGGGGCGCCATCTTTACCAATTAAAAATATATTATATTTTATTGCAATAATATGATGGGGTCACCTTATAATTCTCTATTAGATAAGATAGTCAACTGTTCTTTAGGAATAAGTAGATTATTATACAACATCAAGATACAGTTGTACACATGTCCGTGTGGTGACGGATTAAGAATACCCAGGGTCACCACACCTAATCATCCCACGGGTGTCGTAACAGGCGGCTAAAGGAGCAAACGGACAACGGCACTGCAAAGAGAAGGAAAACTTGAAAAAAAACCTCCTTTCTAAGAAAAGGGCCCATGTCCAGCAGTGAACTAGTATAGGTTATTAATGATGATGATGATGAAGATTCAGTTATGTTGATTTATGGGAATTAACGTGATGACTAAACATGCACATACATATCTTTACTGATATTTAAAAGCTGAAGAGTTTGTTTGGTTGAACGCACTTATCTCAGGAACTACTAGTTTGAATTCTTTTAGTATTGGATAGCTCAGTTATCGATGAAGGCTATAGGCTATATAACATCAGGCTACTATCAATAGGAGCCGATTATCAATGAAAAATGTTACAAAAACGTGGCAAATTTATTCCTTTTAAGGGACGCACACAAAGTTGCGCGGGGCAGCTAGTATAAACAGTTTAAAAATTAATTTAACAAAATACAGGTAGATAGATATAAAACTGATGTTTCATAGTAGTGATGTCTTTTGTTCCGTCACATGGTAGCCGCTTGCGTGTCGTGATCCCGGCGTTAAAGCAAGCAGAGACGTACGCGCCTCCTCGGCACCTAGTGAAGCGCCAGAATATTTCATATTGATATCGATATTTTATCGCGTTTTATTGAGCAACTCAGAACAGAACATTTAGAACTAAAGAACAGAAATAAGTTTAAATAAACTTGAGTCGAATTTTTGTAATTGTCAAAGAATTAAAGTCACACACAGAGTAAGAGTCCTTCTCTTACTCTGTGTGTGACTTTAGTTCGTTCTTTTCTCTAAAAGAAAGAAAATTCATTCCCCTCACCTGGACAATTGGCGCTCCACTACTATGCGCTTTTGGACACACCTGTTGCCTCGCACAATCAAACCGTGAAACAAGTTAACGTCTGCGGTATTTTCGGACCGATATGACATTCAAACCTTCCAGAAATGAGCGTAATTATTTCTAAAAGGCCCGGCAACGCATTTGTGTCTCCATGTTGACTTTGAGTTGGACACGTTCATGGCGGCGATAGTCACTTTCCATCAGGTGACACAATCTCTAACCGTGTGGTTAGAGATTGTGTCACCTGGATGGACTGGTTTCAGGGTTTTTTTTTGTATGTGAGTGTGTACTCACATACAAAAAAAAACCCTGAAACCAGTCCATTTTTTTATAGAACTCGGAAAAAATGTAAAAATTAATACTTGATGTATGATACAAAGTTAGTGCTCTGAGAATAAATATTGTTTATCGACACGACATTAGTTACATCTCTATGTGACCGCTAGTGACGCGCTCACGCACCGTACCCTATGATCAGGCGCACAATCGTGGTGCATTAGCGCCGCGCCCCGCCCCCCGGCGCCGCGCATGCGCCCCACAACAAATTACTTTTTATTATTATAATACCTTGCGTGTATCTCGGCATTATTAATACACTATAAAAAAAGAAATAACTTGTTCGTTTCCTTTAGTCTTTTTTCTTTTTAGTGTAATTATCATTAGGCTTGAATTAAAGCAATATTAAAGCTTCTTTTCCTAATTTGTATCTAATAGTGTGTGGTCCAGCTCCTTTTTAGAATATTGAACATTTTTTATTTTAATTTTTAGAAACGACTACTCCCGCACTAGAAATATATCCTGTGTCGCAGTGGACTTTACAGATATACGTGAAACGGACACAAAGAACAGCCAGACCAAGAACATCAATTTGTAGATCACACAAAATGTTGTCCCACGTGGGCAACCTCCTTTCAAAGGAGAGGCCTATGTCCAGCAGTGGACTATTAAAGGTTGTTGAAGTGATGATGTGATGTGGGGAACGAACCCCCAACACTCAACAACGCTGTAGAAGGCGGCTAGGTGACCGGTTAAACCACTAACACCATCTATGCAGCCATTTTGTTTCAATTGTTCTAGATTTTTTATGTGTTACATATTTCCTCACGCTTTCATGGAATCTGTAATTATCGTTTCTTTAAAAGGGACGGAATTGTGTAACAGAAGCCGGTGAAGTGCGCGGTAATTGACTAACGAGTGCGCGCATTACTAGATTACTGTCAATCAGATGGTAGGTTAAATGTCAAATGTTACACATCATACTGTGACTATCGAAGCCTCGCGCTTTTCTGTTTTATGGCTACTGATATTTCAAATAAAGCATCTTGATTTTAAATTAAAAAAACAACCCGCGGTTTCCGTCACGTAAAAGTTATTTTGATGTTCCCTGGACATACTTAGTACTTTTTTGGTACAAGATTTATAATGCAATACAAAATTTCATAATAATTCGCTGCACCGAGTAGTAACATTGTCACTATATTGTTCTTAGTAAGACTCAGTTTATGAGGCAATTGAATTAATATCGTTAAAGTTAAATAAAAGAAAAAAATACATAGAGTGAAACATAGAATCACCTCCTTTTTGAAGTCGGTTAAAAAATACGTTTATGGTCGATAATAGTTTTTTATAATGCAATTAATATTTACACTTAAAATAATTCAATGTACTTAGTAATAAACTATTTAAACAAACAAATTAACATTAAAATATCTTTATACCATTTTCTACTATTTTGTATAATTTAAAATGTTTACGTAAGTCTTGTAATGTTATCGTGGCTTTTGAACATTCACAGTATGATATGAAAATATGAATAACAAATATATAAAACAATGCTATAAAAAGAGAAGGTTGCCTTGGACGACCCCCACCACCACGTTAGACAAAAGAAAGTCGGTGTCGACAGGTAAAATCACCACAGTCTACAAATCCCCTGTGTACAAAACATTATAAACGAATATTTAAAATGGCTATATATTTTGAGAGTTCGTAACAAAAGTTCTTATTAATACAATACCTACCTATGTTTTATATTTTTACTATACAATGTTTTCTAGACCCGACCCGAACTAAGCATATTTGGTACAGTGAGTTCTAGACCACAGATAAACAATCTAAGTCTTTTTTATTAGGTTACCGTACCCAAAGGGTAAAACGGGACACTGTTACTAAGACTCCGCTGTCCGTCCGTCTGTCCGTCTGTCACCAGGCTGTATCTCATGAACCGTGATAGTTATACAATTGAAATTATTCCAAATGATGTATTTCTGTTGCCGCTAAAACAACAAATACTAAAAACAAGAATAAAATAAATATTTAAGGGAGGCCCCCTTACAAAAAGACATGATATTTTTACCGTTTTTATAGATAATGGTACGAGACCATTCGTGCGCGAGTCCGACTCGTACTTGGCTGGTTTTTTACTGTTTAATATCATATAGAAATTGCGTGTTTCTATATAAGACTAATGCATATAACAGCAATATGCTTGCATACAAGTCTTTGTTCAGTATTTTATGTTGTCCAACCAGATATATATATACTCGTATATGTTACTAGCTGACCCGCGCAACTTCGTCTGCGTCTCTCAATAGTAATAAATTTTCTCCGTTTTTCAAACATTCTTCATTGGTGCTCCGCTCCTTTTGGTCTTAGCGTGATGATATATAGCCTATAGCCTTCCTCGATAAATGGGCTATCTAACACTGAAAGAATTTTTTAAATCGGACCAGTAGTTCCTGAGATTAGCGCGTTCAAACAAACAAACAAACAAACTCTTCAGCTTTATAATATTAGTATAGATTCTTGGTTCGAACTGACCGAACTGAACTGACCACATTGTCCTGTGCCTTGTATGATTAAAATAAATGGTTTTACTTGACTAAGAGAAATCCTTTTTTCTGGGGTATTAGGTATAGGATGTTTTACCTATAATTTTCTGTTTACCTGTATATGTACGGGAATTAACGGGATCCATAGGTATACTGCCCGCGGTCACAGACTGTCTGAGTGTAGTTAAAGCTATTGAATGTTTATTGATCGTTTAGTTACTGTATTCATAATGAATAACTAAATATCATGGAATAATAATAATTTATAATATAATAAAGCCATTTATTCGTAAAATAATATTTTCTTTTATTATTAAACCTGTCGTGACATTAATTTAAAAGCCCGGTTTGGAGGTTCCCGGAGCCCACAGATTACTCCGTATTATTTTCTGATTCTACCAATAATGACTTCAAAGAATCAAATTTTCTTTTTAATCTTCTGTTGGCATCGCTTAACTTTTTAATTTTTTTATTTTTTGTCTTCACTGCGTTGGTTAATTCGATGATTCTTCTACAAAGACGTTTGTTGACTAAAGTGCCATAAGCAGATGGCGTAACATCTATAGGCGAACACTTCCTATTTTGTTTTGTAGGCGTGTCTAAGCAATCGCTCTGAGTTTTAGCTGTTGGCAAGTCTTTTGTGTCTTTCAGCGGTGAACCAGCAATCTGAAACACGTATTTGTTTCTTCAAATTCAAACCATAATTATTAAGATTCTCATAATACGTTTCTTATTAATTTGTGTGCCAATGTGCCATATAAAATTTCCTCTAAATGGGTTTAGCGGATATTGATTCCCCATACAAACTTCCAACCCCCTTTTCAAACCTTTAAAGGATGGTTTATGATATAAAAACTATCCTATGTCATTCCCCGGAACTCAAACAATCTCTATACCAAATTTTATCTAATTCGTTTCACCGGTTTAAGCATGAAGAGGTAACATACAGACAGATAGACACACTTTCGCATTTATAATATTAAAGTATGGATAATCATAACATTAATTCTTATTATAATCATACCACTTCTTCAGACGATGTGCCGGCCACAGGAATTTCGCTATTTTTAGCTGCACTTGCATCTATGGTAGGGCCGGGTCCCTAAAAGCAGTTTTATTAATTAATACACACACACACATCAACAGCCTTGACCAGCCCACTGCTGGACATAGGTCTCTCCTTATTAATTAATACACCATACGGTATTTATGTCACCTTATTAAAGTTCATATATTACCCTAAAATAGCAAGTCAAAGCCATAATCACATTTTATTAAAATAAACTATTTTTTTAACGGATATAACTTTTACATGTTTTAGGATTTATAAATATTATTTTTAATCATTAATTAGGCCTTTAATATATTTATAAATCCGTTAAAAATTGTTTATTGTGACGCGTGTTTGAATATTGTTTCACTCAACCTCCTAATAATATAATAATAATACACATAATGTACACACCACATGCTGTATTTACTTGGTTTAGGCCCGTAAATACGGTGGAACCAGCTAAAAAGCTGAGAAAATAAAAATTAAAACACAAAATAATAATAATATATTTTACTTAGTAAAATTTACTACATACACACAACGCCATCTAGTCCCAAACTCAGCAGAGCTTGTACTATGGGTACTAGACAACTGATATAAACACATATATACTTTTTTTTTGTAAATACATACATATTATACATAGAAACACCCAGACCAAATCAAACATTAAATGTTCATGCACACAAATTTTTGACTTGAGCGGGAATCGAACCCGCGACCTTTGGAATAGCAGTCCTTTGGAATGTTATTATTGTTTAGTCTACATTGGTACCTAATCTTTAAAACAAAGAGTGAAAGTCCATACCAAAATTGGCAAGTATAGAGATGGTACAGCGGAATCTAACAGCCTTCTACGGTTTTTCATAATATGAAAATTGTCTTCTGTGAAGTGTCTTGAGCATATCACACTATATTTGGTGGGAAACCATTCGTCCCCTCGAGAAGTTGCGTCAATCCACATCTCTTTTCTTTTGGGGCAATGAGGAAACCTAAAACATAATGATATATAAACCTTTAAGAAAAGAGCGTACTCCTTCCTAAAAGGCCGGCAACGCTTTTGTGACTCCTAGTTTGCAGACGTTCATAGGCGGCGATGGTCACATCAGGTGACCCGTCTGCCCCCTCTTACATAAAAAAATTATGATATTATTATTTTTCCAAAATAATACGACTTTAATAAATAAATTTCAAACGATGATCAACCAAATTTAGACTTATACATGACACCCCTAACATAATCACAATCACCTCTGATAAATGATATGATTTATAACCATATAAGCAAAACTGCGATGCTTTACAAAACCACTGAGATTATTATTATTACGCTTTTTGAAAAAGAATTTTGTTAGATTTTGATGGCATTTATCTTTGTCAATGACCAAATCACAATCACAGTTGAAATCAGATTGATTAAAATTAATCATTTCGTCATATGATTATGATTTAAAAGTAGCATTAATTCCCATGTCTACATAACACACAGATTATTAATAGATGCCGCATTATAGAATATTTGTACCGATTCGAGTTCACAAAATTTGGCGGTATGCAAGGATTGCAGGGGACGTGTCAAGAGTTCTCTCGCTCGATGGCCTGATTGCGGCTATCGTGCAGAGCGAGAGTGCGTGGAACTTTGCCGTCTCCTTCTGCGAGCAAGTTATGCTCGCGAAGGAGACGGCGGAGCGGGACCGGGAACGGTTTAGGACTCTCCCGGCCCGCCAGGCCCGGGAACGGGCCAGGTACCGCAGGCGACTCAGGCGCCGGAGGTCGCAGAACGACCTCCGTCCTCCATAAGCGCAGGCCTGGGGGTGACAGGTGAGGCCATCTGTCACCCTAGCAGAAGTAGGCCGGGGTGGCGGCGAGCGCGTTGCGAAGCGCGCTCGCTTCCAGGGAGCAGAGGGAACATGGGGTTCCCACACGGGGGGGGTCGTCTACCTGTTGTTGTAGATGGCCCGAGGTATGTCGGGGCACCAGGGAATTCCTTCCTAGGGTATACCTGGTTCCCCGTTTATTAGTACTCGAGACGGCGTGCGGTTTTAGTCGGTTCGAGTCCGACATGCCACCGATAGCTGGTGGTATCCGAGGGGATTTCCGCACGGAGAAAAAAAAAGCCGTGTGGTGTCGTGGGACACCCGGTAGGAACGAAGTTGTTACGATCGAGTAAAACTGATTCGACACGATTTTAATTACAACGCCATCTATGAAAGCGGCTATTACCTACATATTTTTCAGTTTGTTTCTAATTAAAACAATTTATACATTGGTAAAATCTCCTTGAGAAATGATGTCGAATACAATATTTTTTGCTCAACCTAAGAACATAAATTTTAATTTTACTATTCGATAGATGGCGCTGAATGACTGACAAGTGACAATTCAAAATAAAAAGTGTCGTGACCAATTTTCGGAAGAATTTTTTCCGTCTAGCCCCCTTTCACAACGCGCGATAAGGAACTTCGTTCCAAAAAAAAAAAGGGGACGTGTCAAATGCGCTGTGATTAGATCACGGAGTACAACAACCAATGAAGAGAGCATCGGCACATTTTTGTTCTAAATCAAAGTCACTAATTAACGGCGGGGGGAGAGGTAAGCTTCGCCCACTGTGATTGGGTGACGAATTGACGACCAAAGGACAACTGATTCTCTAGGGATTCCCAAAAAGTAATTACTAAAATATCGATATCGATAATTGTTTGATTTAAAAGTAGTAGAATTTGTTTGCGATGCAGAGATTACGGGTTCGATTTCGAAATAAAATACGTGTTTATTATACTGGAAACTTGCTTTCTAAGGAGAGGCCTATGTCCAGCAGTGGACTATTAAAGGCTGTTAATGTGATGTGTGATGATGTGAAATCATATCCCACAAAAGATTTAAGAACAACCATTGTGAAGTAATCTGAGTTGTATTTAGATGTAATACTTTTTGTATACGTATTTAGATGTAAAACTCCATGTGAACGCTTACAAAAACCAAACGCCAGTTATGGGAACGTCCCAAAAGATGAAACAAAAGACTTTATTATTAATCTTATAATGGTCTTATACTAAAGTGCAATGTACTAAAGTTATGTACAAGTTTCATACTAGTATTTTGTATTGCAAAATATCCCTTTTCTTCATATTTGCAAGCAAAGCCAAGAGCATCAGCATGTTTTAAAATAAAGCAATAATAATACAAAATATATAAGGTATATAAATATAACCCATATTTTCAATTACATATCAATCGTCAATACAATCGTCGCGATGCTGCGAACAGCACTATCAAAAAAAAAAGACAACTGCTAATGTGCAAATCAATGTACCAGAAAGAGATAGCAACGCGAACATTCCAGAAATTCCAATATTTGATTTTATGAATAAATGGAGTAGAAAACCGCTTACCTGTGAAATGTTATCCCATCTTTTGTGTAACTTGAACTAGTAGTACACTTTCCACACCATTTCATTGCACAACTAGGCATTACATATTTACCTACCATTACATATTAAGAACAATGGCAGAAACATATTTACCTAAAACTTAAGCGTTTAAAAAATCGAATCACAGTAAACTTAATCAATATTTTTTTATATTTTTTACAAAATAAAATGACTTCAGTAAACAAAGTTCAAACGATGACTAAACAAATATCGACTTATAAATCACAACACTATCGATACACGTGCTGTTATTAGACAAAGACAACTATTGTAATTTACGTGATGAGTGAAAGAGACATGTCAAAATGACATCATAGGCAGCTTAATTGTTATCACTTCGCACCGTTCCGTTACCAATGTACCAAGTTGAAATAGGTTATACTAATTTAATAAAAATAGAATTTACTTACCGATGAAATGTTATGCCATCTTTTTGAAAATTTGATGTCTTAGCTGTCTTGCCACACCACTTGACTGCACAGAAAGCCATTTGTAATATATTTTGGATACTTTCAATACTATTTTTTAATTGTCTAAAATTCGGACATGCGTCCCGTACGCAAACTTGGTCGACACTGATGTCGTGATTCTTAGCGTCACTTCATATGCTAGCTATAGCAGGCGTAGTGTTGCGCGCGTTTGTGCAGGGGGGGGGGGGGGGTTCCAGTACCTGTGCCGGACTGAGATGGAACAAAATCACAACGGGTTGTGATACTTAGATCATATGATTTATAAATCATATAATCAAACCTAGACTAATTTACAAAATAATTGCGACTTATTATTATTATTCCGCTAAGACGATCGATAGATCGAGCGATCTAAAATAAAGAGAAAATTGATTGTGATGGAATTTATCTTTGTCTATGAATAAATCACAGTTCTGTTGATTTATCATATGTGAATCACTGTGACTTAAACTAATTATTCCATCATATGATTATGATATAAATGTAATAAAATGATTCTAGGGGGGGGGGGGGGGGGTTAGCTCCCAAAAATACTTATAATATAACACTCACGTATTACACGTCCTGTATATTTTATGTTTGATACGTAATCATCATCATCAGCCTATCGCAGTCCATAGACATAGACCTCTCCCTGCACGCCACTTAGATCGATTTTGGGTTTCTCGCATCCAGCTGTTTGATACTTACGGAACGTTTTATATTTCCCCTTACATGTGTTGGATACACTTACAACGGCAGTGACATGGCCGTTATCGTCGTTGACTCTTACGATAGAACACCGATACTGGATTTATTTATGTTCTGTATACATAGACCCTGTGTTTGTCAAATCCCCCACCACTTAAGGAATATTCACACACACTTTACACACTTTATACACTTAAAGAAAAGAAGTGATTCTCGACGGATGTCCGGACAGGGACCAAATTTTTTTGCTAATTATTTACTATTTTTTTTGCCAAAGAATTGCTTTTTTGAAATAGCCATTTCTGAAAAACAATGGTCGTGCTGACTTGAGACTTAATAAAACGTGGTGTAAGTTTTATCATGACTTAACTACGATGGCTTCATCGACACGGTCGAGTCCTTACCTGCGTAATTAGAGAACTATTCTAAATACTAGAATTTAGTTTAAAGTTAAAAGTTATGAATTCAAATTATTATTGTTGTTGAAATTTCTTGCCTCCTGAATATGAGTATAAAACTTTCAAAAGAAACGGACCTACAATCTTACATCAAAATCACCGTCAGATATAATAAGAGTAAAACATGAATACCACAACATAATAGTCGGTTGTCGGGGAATCGAACCCGTACCGCGAAGTTGTAACAGAATCGATTGGACACACCTCACCGGACACAGAAAGCAAATTGCCCTCGGCATATGAAATAAAAACTTCTAAGAAAGCCCTGTGGATATTATAATCGTCGATTGTGTTGAACTCATGTTGAAAAAAAAAGATATGTCATTTATTGTCTATGCTGTCATCGGACTACTTTATTACTTTTGTTAAAGTTCTTCTTAAAATTATTACACAGACTATTCAATTCCACAAAACTTTAGACTTTGTATAAAATTACAGTATTGGACCGTTTCCATAAAATTATTTATTTCAGTGCAGTAATAGTTAAAGCACGGGGCAACTACCTATCCATTGGCGCGTAAACAACATAGACAAGAGGACGCAAGTGTGGTTTTATTTTTAATTTCTAGGAATATGTTACTACGTCATAGATTCATGTTTCGGAGAGCTTGGACTTTCTTCAAAAAAGACAGACAAACTTCCACAGACATACAGTCATTTCGAATTATTGTTGACATTTATCAGTAAAATCAAAAATACCATTGAAATCTATACAAATAAATAAAATTGAAGTATCTGTTTGTGATATCAAAATAATATTCATTAATAATCATTTGCACTACGCATATGCCTAAAAAATAGTTTTTTTTTGTATGTCTG